TACCGAATAAAAACTATGTAAAGCATAATTTAAGGTGGCAAATATTGTCATATTAAAATGTACTGTAAAGTTGAAAAGAAAATACTACCTTTTCTAGTCTAGTTTATAGTGTAGACTAGACTAGACTATAGATTAGAATATAGGCTAGACTATAGACTAGACTATAGACTAGACTATAGACTAGACTATAGACTAGACTATAGACTAGACTATAGACTAGACTATAGACTAGACTATAGACTAGACTATAGACTAGACTATAGACTAGACTATAGACTAGACTATAGACTAGACTATAGACTAGACTATAGACTAGACTATAGACTAGACTATAGACTAGACTATAGACTAGACTATAGACTAGACTATAGACTAGACTATAGACTAGACTATAGACTTGACTATAGACTAGACTATAGACTAGACTATAGACTTGACTATAGACTAGACTATAGACTAGACTTTAGACTAGACTATAGACTAGACTATAGACTAGACCAGACTTGACTAGACTATACCAAAGACTAGAATGTAGTCGTTTCTATGTATTTATGTATATATTTTACTCTATACTAGATTATACTATAGACCGGGCAATAGACTATACTATATAACAGACTATAGATTATTCTAGAAGATTGAAAATTTTGTTTTCTAAAAATTCTAAAGAATATTTAAGTTTTTATACGATTTTTTGCATTTGATTTTTGCAATAAATTTTCTAACATTTTTCAACTTTACCACGTGGATTAACAAAACTTTGGAGACATTTTTTGTTATCTACGGCTTCAATACAATGCTTACGGATAGTGTCATGCAGCAGCATTTTGCAAAATTCTAAAGAATGTAAAAAATCTAAAAAGAACTGCAAGACAACACCTGTATACAAACATAAATATCTTTAGAAAAGTGTCTAGATGTTTTGTGTATTTTTCCATGGTGTGCAATTGTTAAGTAAATATTAACTTTAGGAAAAACTTGCAACACCATTGTAAAGTTTGGTTTATTTTTCTTTTTAAGAAAATAAAATAAAAATCTAAAGCAAATTTTAAGCATACATTTTTTTTGTAGCTTGAATACACCTTAAGACCCTACTAAACATAAATACCAACACCTAGCCAGAACCCTAAAACTCAACATAAACTTGTGCGAAGACTAACGACACTCTGACAAAAGCCTTTAAGCCATTGTTTACTTGTTAAGTTCAATTGAGGTTAAAATTTTTGGAAAAATAAAAACTTTATGAAAAAACAAAACATAAGAGGAAAAGTTTGTTTTTGGTAATTTGGAAAATTTTTCTTTATAAAGATTTTCAAGACATTTGATGTTTCTTTCTTTTTTGAGTTTTTTAAGTGATAAAGAAATAAAAACAATAATATTTTTATTGTATTTACAATTAACACCTACTTTGAAGGGAAGAAGACAAATAAAAATTTATGTTTTGAAAAGAAAGATTTGAAAAATAAATATTTTTCTGGAGATAACATTGAAAATTTTATTATTTGGCCCCTAAAAGTATGCTTTACTTAATATTTGTTTAGTGCACCTAAAGCAAAACCTCATTGTTTTTCAATATTTTCTTCATTCAATTAAATTTACATAAATGGTGACTTAATTGACATTTAAGGTATAGACTATAGACTAGACTATAAACTAGTCTAGTCTATTGTCTGTTCTATAGTCTGGTCTTTTCTTATACCTCTTAAAGTCTAAAGTCTAGTCTATAGTATCGTCTATAGCCTAGTCTATATAGTCCAGTCTATATAGTCTAGTCTATATAGTCCAGTCTATATAGTCTAGTCTATATAGACCAGTCTATATAGTCTAGTCTATATTGTCCAGTCTATATAATCTAGTCTACATAGTCTAGTCTAAATAGTCTAGTCTATATAGTCTAGTCTATATAGTCTAGTCTATATAGTATAGTCTATATATAGTCTAGTCTATATAGTCTAGTCTATATATAGTCTAGTCTATCTAGTCTAGTCTACATAGTATAGTCTAGTCTATATAGTCTAGTCTATATAGTCTAGTCTATATAGTCTAGTCTATATAGTCTGGTCTATATAGTCTAGTCTACATAGTCTAGTCTATATAGTCTAGTCTATATAGTCTAGTCTATATAGTCTAGTCTATATAGTCTGGTCTATATAGTCTAGTCTATATAGTCTAGTCTATATAGTCTAGTCTATATAGTCTAGTCTATATAGTCTAGTCTATATAGTCTAGTATATATAGTCTAGTCTATATAGTCTAGTCTATATAGTCTAGTCTATATAGTCTAGTCTATATAGTCTAGTCTATATAGTCTAGTCTATATAGTCTAGTCTATATAGTCTAGTCTATATAGTCTAGTCCTATATAGTATAGTCTATATAGTCTAGTCCTATATAGTATAGTCTATATAGTCTAGTCTATATAGTCTAGTCTATATAGTCTAGTCTATATAGTCTAGTCTAGTCTAGTCTAGTCTATATAGTCTAGTCTACATAGTCTAGTCTATATAGTCTAGTCTACATAGTCTAGTCTACATAGTCTAGTCTATATAGTCTAGTCTATATAGTATAGTCTATATAGTCTAGTCTATATAGTCTAGTGTATATAGTATAGTCTATAGTCTAGTCTATATAGTCTAGTCTATATAGTCTAGTCTATATAATCTAGTCTATATAGTCTAGTCTATATAGTCTAGTCTATAGTCTAGTCTATAGTCTAGTCTATAGTCTAGTCTATAGTCTAGTCTAGTCTATAGTCTAGTCTATAGTCTAGTCCATAGTCTAGTCTATAGTCTAGTCTATAGTCTAGTCTATAGTCTAGTCTATAGTCTAGTCTATAGTCTAGTCTATAGTCTAGTCTATAGTCTAGTCTATAGTCTAGTCTATAGTCTAGTCTATAGTCTAGTCTATAGTCTAGTCTATAGTATAGTCTATAGTATAGTCTATATAGTCTAGTCTATAGTCTAAGTCTAGTCTATATAGTCTAGTCTATATAGTCTAGTCTATATAGTCTAGTCTATATAGTCTAGTCTATATAGTCTAGTCTATATAGTCTAGTCTATATAGTCTAGTCTATATAGTCTAGTCTATATAGTCTAGTCTATATAGTCTAGTCTATATAGTCTAGTCTATATAGTCTAGTCTATATAGTCTAGTCTATATAGTCTAGTCTATATAGTCTAGTCTATATAGTCTAGTCTATATAGTCTAGTCTATATAGTCTAGTCTATATAGTCTAGTCTATATAGTCTAGTCTATAGTCTAGTCTATATAGTCTAGTCTATATAGTCTAGTCTATATAGTCTAGTCTATATAGTCTAGTCTATATAGTCTAGTCTATATAGTCTAGTCTATATAGTCTAGTCTATATAGTCTAGTCTATATAGTCTAGTCTATATAGTCTAGTCTATATAGTCTAGTCTATATAGTCTAGTCTATATAGTCTAGTCTATATAGTCTAGTCTATATAGTCTAGTCTATAGTCTAGTCTAGTCTATAGTCTAGTCTATAGTCTAGTCTATAGTCTAGTCTATAGTCTAGTCTATAGTCTAGCCTATAGTCTAGTCTATAGTCTAGTCTATAGTCTAGTCTATAGTCTAGTCTATAGTCTAGTCTATAGTCTAGTCTATAGTCTAGTCTATAGTCTAGTCTATAGTCTAGTCTATAGTCTAGTCTATAGTCTAGTCTATAGTCTAGTCTATAGTCTAGTCTATAGTCTAGTCTATAGTCTAGTCTATAGTCTAGTCTATAGTCTAGTTTATAGTCTAGTCTATAGTCTAGTCTATAGTCTAGTCTATAGTCTAGTCTATAGTCTAGTCTATAGTCTAGTCTATAGTCTAGTCTATAGTCTAGTCTATAGTCTAGTCTATAGTCTCGTCTATAATCTAATCTATAGTCTATTCTATAGTCTCGTCTATAGACTAGTCTATAGTCTCGTCTATAGTCAATTCTAGTCTAAAATTCATTTCTAGGAACCAATCAAATTTTCCCTTATTTACCAAAAAAAAACTATTTATTGTTGCCTTAACTATAAACTTTTTACCACAAAAGTTTTGTTGTTTCAAGAATATTTGCACCTCCCCTTTTCTCACCAATTATCTTTCTTATACCTCTCCCCTTTCTGCTTTCTTCTCCCCCTTGAAATACACATTTTCCACCACATTTCTTACGGCTCTTGAAAATTTGTCTTCGCATACGAAAACCTTTTGAAAATAGAAAATACACAAACTTTTTACCATTATATTTATTTAACTAATTAATAAACTCCCATTAACAGCTAAATAAAATAACATTTATTTAGCAATTTATATCATTAACTTTAAGCCAAAGTAAAAACAACTTAAGTGGCTCAAGAAGTTTTAGAGAATTTTCAGTTCAAACCACAAATAACGACAAAAAAACGCAAATATTTACGCAAGAATTTAATTTGACAAAACCAAGAAGAAACAACAAAAACACTTAAGCCAAAAAAGGTCTTAAAGAAACCAAAAACTGAATTAACAAAAATTGTTGTTAAATTATAAAACAGAATTTTAAAATGTTTTGTTTTTTACGAAAAAACTGCTAAAACAAGAAAAAAATCATTACCGGAAATTGGCTTGCAAATGTCGATGTTGCATAATAATATTTTGAGGGGGACTGGCCACCTCTTTCTCGGTAGTTGTTTGGTAGCTGCAGACAATTGTTTTTCATTACAAAAACAAAATCAAGTGTTTGTATTAAACTGTTTTTGCATGTTTTCAAGGCGTCTCATCATGCAAAATTTTCTAGGTTCTGTTTTGTATTTTTTTCTAATTTTATCATTTTATATTGTTTGAATTTTTTTTGGTAATTTCCGTTTTATAATGTAAAAATTTTGCCAAAAAAAAAACAAGGCTTGTTTCTATGTATTTGGAAATTTTTGGCAATTTGCCGCCATAATATTCTATGCAAAACTGCCTTAAATATCTAAGACTAGAACAACAACAAAAATAATAACTTAAACAACATTTTAAGAAAACTTACATTTTCAGCAGAATGTGTCGAAAAGAGAGCAAGAGATAGACACGAGTGCTATGGAAGGTGAAATGACGACAGTGCAGTAAAGAGAAGATTTTAAGGTAATTCCACTTTTAAATACAAATAGTTGTTGCTATTGTTGTTGTTGTAAACAATAAATTACCTGCAAAGAAAAAGCAAGAGAGAGAGAGAGAAATTATAAATTAAAATATTGCTGTTTAAAAAATCAATCAAGATAAACATTAAATATGCAGAGGATTTTATATGTGTATAAAGTGTTGGTCTATTTAGCATACTTATAGGCTTAAGGTAGAAGAAATAAATGAAAAATTAAATTAAGGTTTATGTTAAAAGATTAAAGAGGAGAGAATCAGAAAAATTTAAGAATTATAAAATTAAACAATAACAATAGACTAGACTATAGACCAGACTACTGATTAGACTATTGACCAGACTACACACCAGACTATAGACCAGACTATAGACCAGACTATAGACCATCCTATAGACCAGGCTATAGACCAGACTATAGACCAGACAATAGGCCAGACTATTGACTAAACCACAGACCAGACTATAGACTAAACCACATACCAGACTATTAACTAGACTATTGACTAGACTATAGACCAGACTATTGACTAGACTATAGACCAGACTATATACTAGACTATAGACCCGACTATAAACCAGACTATAGAGCAGATGGGAAAAATAGTGATCACAGATTTTCGTTCTTTTGACCCTAGCTCAGAAAATGCAATTTTATGTTTTCACTCAAAAATTGGATTTTTGTTAGGAAATAGAGTGATCACAGATTTTCAGTCTTTTGGCCCTAGCTCTTCTAGTTTAGCCAGAAAATGCAATTTTATGTTTTCACTCAAAAGTTGGATTTTTGGTTGGAAATAGAGTGATCACAGATTTTCGTTGTTTTGGCCCTAGAGTGATCACAGATTTTCGCTGTTTTGGCCCTAGCTCTTCTAGTTTAGCCAGAAAATGCAATTTTATGTTTTCACTCAAAAATTGGATTTTTGTTAGGAAATAGAGTGATCACAGATTTTCAGTCTTTTGGCCCTAGCTCTTCTAGTTTAGCCAGAAAATGCAATTTTATGTTTTCACTCAAAAGTTGGATTTTTGGTTGGAAATAGAGTGATCACAGATTTTCGTTGTTTTGGCCCTAGCTCTTCTAGTTTAGCCAGAAAATGCAATTATATGTTTTCACTAAAAAATTGGATTTTTGGTAGGAAATAGAGTGATCACAGATTTTCAGTCTTTTGGCCCTAGCTCTTCTAGTTTAGCCAGAAAATGCAATTTTATGTTTTCACTCAAAAATTGGATTTTTGATGAGAAATAGAGTGATCACAGATTTTTATTGTTTTGGCCCTAGCTCTTCTAGTTTAGCCAGAAAATGCAATTTTATGTTTTCACTCAAAAATTGGATTTTTGATGAGAAATAGAGTGATCACAGATTTTCAGTTCTTTGGCCCTAACTCTTCTAGTTTAGCCAGAAAGTGCAATTTTATGTTTTCACTCAAAAATTGGATTTTTGGTAGGAAATAGAGTGATCACAGATTTTCGCTGTTTTGGCCCTAGCTCTTCTAGTTTAGCCAGAAAATGCAATTTTATGTTTTCACTCAAAAATTGGATTTTTGATGGGAAATAGAGTGATCACAAATTTTCATTGTTTTGGACCTGGCTGTTCTAGTTTTGCCAGAAAACGCAATTTTATGCTTTCACTCAAAAATTGGATTTTTGGTAATAAAAAGAGTGATCACAGATTTTCATTGTTTGGTCCTAGCTCTTCTAGTTTAGTCAGAAAATGCAATGTGAAAACATAAGTTTTCACTCAAAAATTGGATTTTTGATGGGAAATAGAGTGATCACAGATTTTCATTGTTTTGGCCCTAGCTCTTCTAGTTTAGCCAGAAAATGCAATTTTATGTTTTCACTCAATAATTGGATTTTTGTTAGGAAATAGAGTGATCACAGATTTCATTCTTTTGGCCCTAGCTCTTCTAGTTTAGCCAGAAAATGCAATTTTATGTTTTCACTCAAAAATTTGATTTTTGGTAGGAAATAGAGTGATCACAGATTTCATTGTTTTGGCCCTAGCTCTTCTAGTTTAGCCAGAAAATGCAATTTTATGTTTTCACTCAAAAATTGGATTATTGGTAGGAAATAGAGTGATCACAGATTTTCGCTGTTTTGGTCCTAGCTCTTCTAGTTTAGCCAGAAAATGCAATTTTATGTTTTCACTCAATAATTGGATTTTTGTTAGGAAATAGAGTGATCACAGATTTTCATTCTTTTGGCCCTAGCTCTTCTAGTTTAGCCAGAAAATGCAATTTTATGTTTTCACTCAAAAATTGGATTTTTGTTGGGAAATAGAGTGATCACAGATTTTCAGTCCTTTGGCCCTAACTCTTCTAGTTTAGCCAGAAAGTGCAATTTTATGTTTTCACTCAAAAATTGGATTTTTGGTAGGAAATAGAGTGATCACAGATTTTCGCTGTTTTGGCCCTAGCTCTTCTAGTTTAGCCAGAAAATGCAATTTTATGTTTTCACTCAAAAATTGGATTTTTGATGGGAAATAGAGTGATCACAATTTTCATTGTTTTGGCCCTGGCTGTTCTAGTTTAGCCAGAAAACGCATTTTATGCTTTTCACTCAAAAAATTGGATTTTTGGTAATAAAAAGAGTGATCACAGGTTTTCATTGTTTTGGCCCTAGCTCTTCTAGTTTAGCCAGAAATGCAATTTTATGTTTTCACTCAAAAATTGGATTATTGGTATGAAATAGGAGTTATCACAGATTTTCGCTGTTTTGGCCCTAGCTCTTCTAGTTTAGCCAGAAATGCAATTTTATGTTTTCACTCAATAATTGGATTTTTGGTTAGGAAATAGAGTTGATCACAGATTTTCATTCTTTTGGCCCTAGCTCTTCTAGTTTAGCCAGAAATGCAATTTTATGTTTTCACTCAAAAATTTGATTTTTGGTAGGAAATAGCGTGATCACAGATTTTCATTGTTTTGGCCCTAGCTCTTCTAGTTTAGCCAGAAAATGCAATTTTATGTTTTCACTCAAAAATTGATTTTGGTAGGAAAATAGAGTGATCACAGATTTTCATTGTTTTGGCCCTAGCTCTTCTAGTTTAGCCGAAAATGCAATTTTATGTTTTTCACTCAAAAACTGGATTTTTGTTAGGAAATAGAGTGATCACAGATTTTTATTCTTTTTGGCCTTAGCTCTTCTAGTTTAGCCAGAAAATGCAATTTTATGTTTTCACTCAAAATTTGTATTTTTTTTATTTGAAATAGAGTGATCACAGATTTCATTGTTTTTGGCCCTAGCTCTTCTAGTTTAGCCAGAAAATGCAATTTTATGTTTTCACTCAAAAATTGGATTTTTGGTAGGAAAACAGAGTGATCACAGATATTCGCTTGTTTTGGCCCTAGCTCTTCTAGTTTAGCCAGAAAATGCAAATTTTATGTTTTCACTCAAAAATTGATTTGGGTAGGAAATAGAGTGATCACAGATTTTCATTGTTTTGGTCCTAGCTCTTATAGTTTAGCCAGAAAATGCAATTATATGTTTTCACTCAAAAATTGGATTTTTGGTAGGAAATAGAGTGATCACAGATTTTCATTGTTTTGGCCCTAGCTCTTCTAATTTAGCCAGAAAAAGCAATTTTATGTTTCACTCAAAAATTGGATTTTTGGTAGGAAATAGAGTGATCACAGATTTTCGTTGTTTTGGCCCTAGCTCTTCTAGTTAGCCAGAAGATGGAGTTTTTACATTTCCATGCAAAAATAATAAGTTTTCATTAAAAGCACACAGTAGGACGTCTGGATAGCACTGAATTTAAAATCAACATTAGTGGTTGTCTAAAAATAATTTAATTAAAAATACTTGCCTTTGGTTAGCAATAATTTATGTTACAAATTTTTTGTGGTTTATGGAATTTTTGTTAAAAAAAATTTCTTTCAATTTTAATTAAAAAAACCTTTTATGGCATTTGCAACATTTTAGTAATAAAAACGAATATAAAGGACAATAGAATAGAAAATGGTTTCAAATATTATTATTTTACGAGTATTAAAAACAATAAATCATAATAAAATGACAATAAACACAAAAACGAACTACAAAATGTTCAAGGAATGCTAACGAAGATATTGGAATAATTGAATTTGTTGTTGTTTAAAATGTAAAAAAAGACAATTGCAGTGAGTAGAAGGGGCAGGGAGCTAAATAAACAATAAAGTTATTTATTAGAAATATGTGAGTTAATGGCCTTGGCAAGGACATTAAGGACACATACTAAAGAAAAACAATAAGGATGTGAAATAGAACACAAAATATATTTGTGACCACAAATTGTTTAAAGGGCGGAAAAGTCAATTGCTTAAATGATGGCAAGTTGTTCCACAAATTCAAATTTCATTGCCGGCTTTCAGGCGCAAAAAAAGGGATAAACTTTTCATATAAAGAAATTTGTTTCTTTATTATTGTTTTTATTACAAATATTGTCTTAAAAATTAAACACACATTCAAAGAAAACAATCATAAAGAAATAAAAACACAATATATGGATTTTTAACAGCCAAAATGTATGCTACAGAATAAACAAACATATTTTGATTTACGATACAATTGTAAGGACATTTAATACCCAAATACACCCCGCCAAAACAATAATAAATACTTCAACACTCTCCACTTAAGAAGAAAGTTATCCTTAGCCAGGATATCTAAATAAAAAGAGAAACAGACAACAACAACACACACACACACAATTTAAAGCTCTATTTGGCTGTATTAGTATAATGGTTATTGTTATGAATTTATTTGTTTATACGTCTAAAGGAGAAGAAGAAGGACCATTTAAATAAAGACCATTTTTTTTTTCAAAAAAGTCTCCTTTTTTCATATTTTGTAAAATATTGTTATTAGTATTTTTTTAGTGCTTTTCTCCCCATTTTCTTCTAGAGTATATTAAAAATCTAAAATTCCATATAATGTTGTTTATTTTCAGACATATGCACGAAAATACTCATATGGAGGGATTTTAATATTGTTATTATATTTGTATTTTGCTTTTAATATTCTTTCTACTTGTTTGCTTTAAGTAACACATACATATGTATGTTATAGTCTTCCTGT